TCACATTTAATAACTGTGGCCTCTGCAGTAATGCTAGATAATGACTGAACCAAAACTCCCTTGTTCTTATGTCCAGCACAAGACAATTCTTACAAGCATTTATTCTTTTGTTCTGCATATGATTGTCTGCAATAACAGAAAGTTTATTAGCTGAGTCAAAAATAACTAATTAGAACCCAAAGAGTGATCTAAAAGTATCACATTAAAATAAAAATCGATTCCCCATGAAGTAAATAATGTTAAATGAATTTTATTGCTAATCACATCATTATCTAGGGCAGCCCTTAGTTTACCAGCAGAAAATGGCAAAAATGAAACTGGAGGTACATCCACAAAATCCATTAGAGTCCCTTTGGGATATAGCTGTCAGCAGCTTCAGCTCTTGAACTTCTATGAGGCATGCTGTGTCCTTGACCAAGAAATGTGTTTTCCCATGTGTTTTATAAAGTAAATATCTGCAATGCTAAAGGCATAGTGCCAGGCACATCTGTGTCCATAGACATTGCTGTCCTAGATAATGATTTGACCAGCAACAAAGTTAATTTAGCATTATCTATTTCAGGGTGAATAGATTTTCAGTATGACACTTTTAGATCACTCTTTGGGTTCTAATTAGTTACTTTGTGACTGAGCTGATAAACTTTCTGTTACTACAGATGATCACATCCATATTCAGTTTCCTTTAGTGATGGCAAGTTCTCTGCAAGCAAGAATCCTATCTTCGTGATTTCCATAGACTTAGAAAAATCAAAACTCAGAATTGCATTAGTAGGTAGTCACTCAGATCAAAAGTGGTGGTAAGAGTAAGGAAGTGAGGGGCTGGGGTTGTGGCTCAGCACTTGCCTAGCATGTGTAAGGCACTGGGTTCAATCCTCAACACCACATAAAATAAACAAACAAACAAATAAATAAATGTGTTGGGCCCAATTACAACTAAAATAAATAAATAAATGGTTATAGAAGTGAGAAATGTTTTCAAATATCCCTGTGACTCTATACACCAGTTGCCATAGAAAAACAAATGAGATATTTAAGAATTATCTTTCCCATTCTTTTTTAAAACCTGATTGTTTCCTAGTCTGAGACTATCTAGAAAGGATTCCAAGTACATTATGACTTGGATTTAAGTAACCTTTAGTTGGACTCAAATACATAATCTGAATATTTGAGAATTATTTCCCCTTGTCAGTTTAGCTGTTCTGTCGGAGGAGGGAATATTCTTAATGTGATGATAATTCTGACAGGTTCCTAAGACAATAGTGAACTTGGTTAGAGTCTAAGAAATGTAGGTTTTGTCCATGTTTAAATGAAATGCAAACCTTTTTAGTTGTTTCCAATGTGATAAAGTAGTGTTGGCTTTGAGCCTCTTGGGTGTCCACTATAGTTGATTTACAAACTTAGGCTTACCAGGAGTCTCACACACACACCCACCCCTCCTGCCCCCTTCTCAAAGGTACAACAATTTTTCTTTTTCCTTTCCTTCCTTTTGTACTGGGGATTGGACCCAGGGGGTGGGTACTCTACCATTGAGCTTCATTTCCAGTTTTTTCTTTCTTTCTTTTTTTTTAAACAGGGTCTTGCTAAGTTGCCTTGAATTTACAATCCTTCTATTTCCACCTTTCAGAGTTGCTGGGCTTACAGGCCTGTGTCACCATGCCTGGGGAGTAGTAGTTTTTTATTGAGACTTTAGGATAAAAACTTGCACATCTCATTCTAGAATATTTATATAAGAAAATTTTCTCCATAAACTTTACAATTTATATTGATGAAAATGTTGACTTTTTTTTTTTTTTTGCTGGTTTCCTCAGGAAATAAAATCAAGGCAGTTCTAAACCTAACAAAATAAACTTACAATATCTTATGCATGTTTATTAAAAATAGAAACCATGAATAAGCCAATAAAAACTATTAAAATCACGATTCTACTACTCAGGGCTAAGCCATATAAACACTTATATATCATAAAAAGCATTTTCCCCCTCTCCAAATACATATGTCAGCTGCTTTGCAGAATAGAGTTGAACTATATGTACTTTTAACTTGAGCATATTTTTATTGGATGAAAAATATTCTATCATACAACATAAGAAACTTTTATTGATAATCCCCTGATTTCTAGAGAACTTTTTTTTTTTTAGAATAATGTTATAAATGGTAGTTCATTTACTAGGCAAACTCCTCAGGTCCTAATTGATACCTGCCACATACCTCAGCTAAGCTTCTCAACAAATGGTGCCCCAGCATTTAGAATACGGGATTTGCTTATCATGTTACTTCTGTTCAAATCTCTGTAATCTAGGCAGTACCTGGCAACATCAGGAAGGTAGTAGACACTCTGCAGAATCTGAATGAATGGGAGGTGGGAATCCCTATCTGTCCTGGCTTTTCTGATTGGAACAGCCAAATTGAACAGATGGTGGGCACACTGTATAGCAAGATTCCCTCATGGTCGGTATCCTTTGCATTTGTCAGCTTTAGCAACCTTGATATAAAGACTCTTCCCAGGACCTTTCTTTATCTGTGTCAAAGATATCGAGAGAAGGAAGGCAAACTATATGAAAAACTTGGAACAATGAGTTGATATGTATAGTCTCTTCTACCCAACAACAGCAAAACACATATCTGTTTTAAGTGCACATGAAACATAGTAATTTTTGATGTTTTGTTTTTGATACTGAGGATTTAATCCAGGGATCCTTTACCACTGAGCTACATTCCCAGGTCCCCCCCCCTTTTTTTTTTAAAGAGAGAGAGAGAGAGAATGAATTTTTAATATTTATTTTTTGGTTTTCGGCAGTCACAACATATTTGTTTGTATGTGGTGCTGAGGATCGAACCTGGGCTGCATGCATGCCAGGCGAACGTGCTACCGCTTGAGCCACATCCCCAGCTCCCTTTTTAAATTTAATTTAATATTTTAGTTTTGAGACAGGGTCTTGCTAGTTTGTCCAGGCTGGCCTTGAGCTTGCTTAAGCTGGCCTTGAATCTGAGCTTATACCTACCATATATACCCATTCTGCTTCTAGGTATTTATACAAAAATGATGTATACAAAGCTGGGGATATAGCTCAGTTGGTAGAGTGCTTGCCTTACATGCACAAGCCCTGGATTCAATTCCCAGCACCAAAAAAAAAAAAAAAAAGATGTATACATCCATATGAAGACTTGTATGTGAATACTGATAGCCATTTTATTTACAAAAGCCAGAAAGAAATTGAATGTCAACAGGTACATAGATAAACTGTGATATCCATATAACGGAATACCACTCAGTGACAAAGGAACAGACTTGGATACATTTGACAACATGGATGGGTGAAAGAATCCAGACAATGGGTACATAGTCTGTGGTGCCATTCGTGTAAACTTTCAGAACATACATAGTAATCTTCAGCATCAGAAACCAGATTAGTGCTTGCCTAAGAATGGGAGATGGTGGGCCAAGCTGGGAAGAAGGATTAAAGGGATGTGAGACAACTCTTGGTAGTGTATTAATTGTGATGGTTTCTCAGGTTATATGTGTCAAAACTTAAATTGTATACTTTCAAGATGTATATAGTTCATTGTATATCAATTATGTAAAAATATCTGCTTGAAATATAAATAATAAATTAGAATTCTGGCACTATTGTATCATAATAGTGTTTATTAAATACCTGTATACAAATGACCTGACATTTTGTTGTATACTATTCTAGGTTAATAAAAGGGTCTTGCTTGCTAGTTTGTGCTTCTGTACAATCAGAATCAGTAGAAAGTGTCAGAAACCTAGGAAATGTTCTATTTCTCACCGAGGAAAAATCTTTTATATTTATGGGTGGTTAACAGTTGAGCATTGAATTTTTCTTTAAGTAGCGACATGATAGATAACCTAATGAAGAACTTAATCATATTGTATTACCTGGGTCGAATAAAAAATGGGGATATTCAATGGCTATTCCTTGCCTACTGAATCAAGATCAGTTTCCTAGGCTTTTGATATGCCCTGTGGTTTGACCCAAGTTTCTACCCAACAACAGCAAACACATATCTGTTTTAAGTACACATGAAACAGTAATTTTTGTTGTAGATCATGAAAAAGTTACAAATTCCTGTTCAGTTTTGGCCCACCCTGCCCGCAGAACACAGTGTACTGTCCCCCACATCATTACCTTGGTTAATACTTTTTCTGCCTGTGATTCTTACCCACCCTCACCTCACCTTTGTCTCCATCTGGTTAAAATCCTACCAGTGCTTTAAGTTCACATTCAGATGCTAATATGCTTTCTCATTCTCAGTGTCATTTATGTTCTGTATGTTGGTGGACACTAAGCACATAGTTTGTACTGGGCGCCTTGAACCATGCATATTTATATATATGTCTTGAATGAGTTTTGTCAACAGCACCTAGTGGTTACCTTGTACGTAGTAGACATACATGCTGGTGGTACCATAGAAGAATACATTGGGAATATAACGGAGCAGATACAAAATTACACACTGTAGCTACTACTTGGATGTGTTTGACGTATTTATTGTACTTTTATATTTCTTAAAAATTATTGTAATTAACATCATTGAGGGAAGCAGTAACAGGAAAAGCAGGAGAAATAAATTGTTTCAGGTTTTAGTTTTGAAGCTCCTTATGTGGTCATATGGTTAGAGCACAGGAGTGGTAGATTTACCGTACTCATTTTGTATTTTTCTTAAGCTAGTACTTAAATTATAAGGAAACACAAACTTCCTTCTCTGATTTTAGAACTGGGAAGTAGTTGGTTGGAGAATGGGAAGTCAATTTATAATTTTAAATCAGCTAGATATAATTCATTGAGAAATCCAAGTAGAAATAACTATAAGAGCTTAATGGCATCTCCACATTACAGTATTCATTGTATCATGGAAAGAGCATGGATTTGGTAGGAGCCATGAATAATTGGGGAAATATTTTTGAAATTTCAGGTGACAGCTATCTTGTGGCTTGTGTCCACACCTTTACTCACTTCTTAAATTTATTTTTCTAGGTTCGGACCCTATTTGTCAGTGGTCTCCCTCTGGATATCAAACCTCGGGAGCTCTATCTGCTTTTCAGACCATTTAAGGTACCTTTTATATCTTTCAGAAATTGTAGAAGGATACAAAAAGGCTGTGTTTTCCATGCTTTGTGGGGGCTTTTTGGAGGAAGAAAAAATGTTTGAGAGAGCACCTTGTAAAGAGATGTTTTCAAAAAGGTTAATGAGTAAAAGAAAGTTAACAACTGAGTTTTAATGCACAGTCTCACCTAGGAAGATAGACTGAAACTGCCTTTTGGCCTCCCAACAACTCATCTAGCTAGAGAGGTCTCTTATTGATGTGAATATGCATCTGGTCCCAGGGGTCTCTATTCCGTGTAATCTCCCCTGTTTGTTCTACTCCAATTGAGGCTAACTATAGACAATGAAAAGGTTACAAATTACATACTACCTATTTATATTTCAAATGCAATAAGGTAAATCAAATCCTGTCAGTTGCTTCCTTATTAGTTAGAATAGTATTCTTGATAAGGAGACATTTAAAAATAGTCTTTTTTGAACATTATTATTTTTTCCCTGGCAAAAGTTCTAAATTTCAAACAAAATTTTGTAGAAAGCTGTGTATAAATTAAGAGGAATCTTTCTCTGTGTTTAGTGAAATATTTAATGCAATCACCTGTCCTTCCTGACTGTGGAAATAAAGTTACTTTAGAGATATTTAACATTACTGGGAATGAAAACTTAATAGGAAATTGGACTAAAGTTGAAATAACCATGCTGGCTTTTGGAGGATAGGAGGAAACTAGAACTTATCAGAATATGGGCCTTGAAGGCTTCATGATCTCAGGGCCTATGTCCAGGAGCTCTGAGCTGGTCATTGTGGATATGTCAGCTACAACACCTGTCCGGGGTCACCCTTATGGTTAGGTGATAGACAGTCTTGGTTTCTGATTAAAGATCCATCCAGATTGAGGCAGGACATGTTGGACAGGATTCAGCTTAGTAGGAAAGATTAGAGTCTAGGTTGTATGCCAAGAAGACACCATGTAGTGGTAGACCTCACTGCATTCTCATAGCCAACTGCAGAATGAAGTAGTAATGATGACAGCACAGAGGGAAACAGGAAGGGTAATCCAAGACTGGCTAATAGGAAATGGGAAAGGAGAAGAAGGTATTATGAAGAGAGTGCCAACTTTATGGAATTCACAGAGTTTCATATACAGAATCACAGCTGTATAAAAAGAGCCATTTCTGTGACTTTTTAAGCTAGTTGATCTTTTTTTTTTTTTAAATTATTTTTTAGCTTTAGGTGGACACAATATCTTTATTTTATTTTTTTTTAATGTGGTGCTGAGGATCGAACCCAGTGCCTCATGCATGCCAGGCGAGTGCACTACTACTTGAGCCATATCCTCAGCCCCTAGTTGATCTTAACCGACAAAATATTGTTATGTTTGTATGTATAAGAGGAAGATTTGGCCAACAAAGCCCTTAGATGTATTATTATCTCATTTCATTATTACCACAGTTCCTTAAGGTGGCTTAGCCCCATTGTTTCAAATGATGAAAATGAAACTTGGAACAGTTGACTATATATTATGCTCAAGTTTGCACACATAATAAATGGCAGGACCAAAGAGGCAGGCATTTGACTGCCATTCCTGTTTTAAACTATGATATTATACAGTTCTTTGTGGTTTCAGAGCATGGTATTTCCCTGCCAGTGATGTTTTACTTGAATGAAATATCCATTTGTCCTTTGCCTCTGAGACCTTGGGACTGTTTAAGCCTCCAGGTTTTTTAGGAGAGAGCCTACCTTGAAAAAAGAAAGAGGCAGGACTATGAATCATGACCTCTCTGTCCAGAAGAGCTCAAGGCCTGGGAGGTAGAATGTTTATAGTAGCTAATTGGTAACCAAGTTTTGTGCTGGAAAGATGTGAGGATGAATCAATCCTAAAGTCCTGTCCAAAAACCCCAATGCTAAAGTTAGGACCTTGATACATTACTAACAACCCTCTTTTAATTAAAGTCCCTGGAGGCTGACCCTAGTCTACAAATCTGTCTTTGTACTGATATGTGTAGTGGTCAATCATGTCAAGTGGTGTTTTTTTCTGTCATCCATCAGAGAAAGCCACTAGCCATTGATTATTTCCAGAAATGAACACACTTTCTTACTCTTATCCTGAGGAACTAGTTGGGGGAAGGGAGAAGAGAGGTAGTGGAAAAGTTAGGGGATGTTTCCATCTTCCTTAGGAATGAGCTGGAATAGAAACCCCAGAGGGAGGTTTTGCATGTCCCAGCATTATGGAAACCAGCTACTTCATTAACTAAGCAGAATTCAACAAAATGCAGTATCACTGTCTGTTCAGCCTTTTCTGGTCGTCTGAGGTTTTGATCAATAAATTGTATGCTTAAGCGTTTCATTATTATTATTTTATTAGCAAATGTATGACCAAATTAAACATGCTCTAACCTTATTATTAAATTTACTCTCTTCCCTCTCCTAGTTTTATGAAATCCCTATCCTTACCGAGTCTAAGAAGACAAAGATCTGTTGTTGACAAACATTCCCATTACCCTATATTGCATAATTTCATGGAAAAAATAGAAAAGAGAAAAACATAGATAACTACATGATTTCTTTTGGGCCCCAAGTAATAAAATAGGGGTGTGTGGGGTTATGTGTCTGTAATTTGCTTTCCCAACTAACTTGGGAGGCATTTGTGCAAAAAGCTAGATAGTTATAGAGGGTCATGTTTACTAGCTAGGTGGTATTACATTCTCCCCATCCCATATTCATTTTGAGGGCTAAACTTGGTTCTTCTTATTTCCAGGGCTATGAGGGCTCTCTTATAAAGCTTACATCTAAGCAGGTAAGAATTTCAAACTTCTGAATAATTGATAACTTTTTTACTTTCTCCAGGAGTATTAAATGGGGTTTAACACTCTTTTTTAATTCCAGTTAGGATTTGATTTTTTGTTGTGGTTACTATTGCTTTAAAATTAAGGGTGAGCTCTATTAGGATTAGCGTAGGAAGATAATGTGTAGTTCTATAGTCTTCTAGCTAGGATATTTGGGATTGTCCCAAAATGTGGCAAAAATGATGCCTCCAACATAGTTATATTAAGGCTGATTTGTATGTTCAAATAAAATGATTAAATATCAACCAAATTCACTTGTACTCCCAATTCTTTTCCATTTCTTTTAAGAGGTTAAATGGGTAAACTTTTACAAGTGATATGAATATCCGATGGTGAAGAATCATGCTGTTCCTCAAACCCCTAATAACTCAGGCAGAGTCCCTAATTGAGAACGGAGCACAGAAGATACAGAATGGAGCTGGTATTCAGTGGCCTGGGAGTTCCTACAAATTTCTTGGAGATTAGCTATATGCTTGCTTGCTTGGTTGCTTGCTTTCTCTTTTTTAAGCCAAATACTTGGCATACTTGCCTCTCAATCACTTTTGTCTCTCTGGTTCATCTGAAATAAGCTACATTGCATGTAACTTGCTTGGCTGTTAAAATAGAGTCCAAAGGGATTATGGCTCCCACATACAGTGTGGTTTATGCCTATAATACAGGATTTTTTTTTTTTTTTTTGAAGGCATCCCTAGGGATTTGAGATAGACATGCATGCTCACTTTGTAATTTTGGTCATGCAGTAAGAGTATAGGGCTTAACCACTGTGTCGTTGGTGGTAATTCTATTCTCTTTCCATTTTAAAAGATGAAGAAACTGAAATAGTGAATTCAATTTAAGAAAGTAGAGCCTCTTCAACTCCAAATTGTCTGTATCCCTTTATTTACTCCTGCTCATCATCCAATCACCTCTAAGGTTTTTAGTTTAGTTTTGTTTTTTAATGATTCTCTAAATCCCCAGCTGTGCTCTTGAAGAACCACCATTACTGACCATCCCTTTGATTCACGTTAGAAATGTGGCTATACCACTGAGTCATGATTCTTTGGGTCTTATTCTTACTTCTACCTGTCGCTTGTGGTCATTTCTTTATCTTAGCTTTTCAATTGACATCAACCTTGACCCCAGAAAAAGATATTACCTGACTTTTTTTCTTTGTATTTCTCTTTCTTTTTCCTCAGCCTGTAGGTTTTGTCAGCTTTGACAGTCGCTCTGAAGCAGAAGCTGCAAAGAATGCTTTGAATGTAAGTATATGCTAATGTTATAATCATAGTGGTTTCCTTAGAGGTGGTGGGAAGTTAATAAAACTTCTTTGGATTGGAAATTAAAGGGAAGGCAAACTGCTCAATATAACACGGAGAGATTCCTTTATGTAATGAGTCCTCTAAAGAATTTTCTCAATGAATGGTGATCAGATGTGCAAGGGTCATCATTATACCCTAAACGTCTATGTCAAAAAGAGATCAGAATCTTGATTTTTTTTTTTTAATATTATGAGGTTTCCCTTTTAGGTATGTGACTTCTGTTGTTATTTAAAAAACAAATCACAGTCTTTATTTTGAAAATAAATTTGTATCTAAGACTTGCCCAAAAGACATTTTGCATAAAATGTTAAGTCATTTGTATTGAGTAAAGATACCGTACACATTTGGTTTGTAGGCATCTTGTTTGCCATATGTTTTGTAGCTTTTACCAGCATTGTTTTAGAAAACATTTCCTTTCTTTGGTATTTTGAAAAGCAAAACAGCTTATGGGAGCTCTGCCAAGAAAAGGTGGAAAGAAGCAGAATTTACTTTCAGTTGTTGAAGTCTGGTCCTAAAGTGAGGAGCCTCAGGTCTGGCTCCAGCATGTTCCAGGCAGTTGACCTAAGGAGGTATGAATTAAGTGTAGATGAAAGCAGTAGAGCATACAGGGTGCTTCCTAAAAGGCAAGTGAGTACTCTACTGGTTACAATAGAAGTACCATTCTTAGGCTTCTGAAAACTTGGGACTGCTCTCTGTAATGTTATAGTACTTGCAGATGCTCCCACCAGCTGCTTCTCTGAGCAGACCACGGGAAGAGGGTAGCTTGGATACCTGATATGATACTTTGATGACTTAGAGGCCCAAGGGAAAGCCTTTATGTGAGTCTGTTTACTCAGCATAATAGCTATTGTGTTTTTTTACTTTGAAAAAAAAATGTGTACTCTCAAAAGAAACAGATTATTTTTCATGTAAAGCACTCAGGAATGTTTTAGGATTCCAGAATCTTTTTGGATAGATGACCTTTAATCAGAATAACTGCCTTGGTAGAGCACATGCCTAGCATGTGTGAAGCTTTGGGTTCAATCCCCAGCTCTGCAAAAGTGTGTGTGTGAGGTGCACATTTTGTGATTTATGCAGTGTTTTCCTTTATTCTAACCAGGTGAGCATCTTTCTAAATGCAGAAATATTTTTTTTCATTATTCTCATAAAGGAAGTAACAGTAGTTGAATCCCCATCATAGAATTGGCTCCCCTTGCCTTGCTTTATTTTTGGTGTGTGTATAAAGATAGGCTTTTGCAGTGACCTGTCATCTATAAAGGCAACAGTCCCTCATTTCCTTAAGGGGTAAATTGATTTTTTTAAAATAGATAACTGAAGTTTATTGTTTTAATGTTTAAATGATAATAGAATAAAACCATGTTTCCTTCCTTGACATGCTAAATTGAATACAACAAACATAATTACCATCTTTTCTTGGTGCTTGAGGGTTATCATCAGAAATAGAGGTGTTAAAGCTGGTTTGCCCCTAGGCCAGTGGCTCCAGATCCCTGCTTTACTGTCCTCAGTTTTGGTTATAGGTTATTTTTCTCAGCTCTCTCTTCTCCTTGGTAGCAAACTTTATAATTACCAGTGTACTGTCCCCTAATCTTTAATACTACTTGGGAAGAACCTGAAATAAAATAGGTCTGGTTCTGTTTTGAGTCTAAGGGGAGGTCCTCATATTTACCTGTATTGTAATGAGCTCAGGCTTTCAGCTTCTCAGGATAGACTGTGCATATTGGGTATTTACTGAGTTCCTGGCCAAACTGTTTCTTGACATCATAAAACTTTTATGTGTGATTTATTTGTGGTCTTGTGTGCCTTAGAAATCCCTTCAATGTTATAGTCTTTTCCCAAAATGACTGATTTTTAAACCATTTATTTTCTGCCATTTTCAGACTGTGCTTTAATCAGTGTGATCATCTTTTGGAAAGACATGTAGGTTAGATTAAGTGGCAATACTGAATTTTTATTAGGGGGTTACACAAACATATACTTCCCTTTAGGTTATCCATAATCTCATTAATCCACATGATTGGAAACCTCACCTATTCTTTAACTTGACAGCAAAATATCTGACCCATTCATAATGTGACACATACGTAATTTCCATAGTCAGTTCTTTAATTTCCATGCTAATGAAAGAGGAAACTGATAATCTAAAGAACCCTATTATATTTTTAATTTGTTTATAATTTTGAAAGGCAAATCAAATACAGTAACATCTGAAGTTAGCCAGTATAGTAAAAAAATTCTGGTTTGTGGAGATTTTAAAAAGAAAGAGGAAGAAGAGCAGATGTAAGGATAAAGACCCTGAGCAGATGTGGGACTACACCACCTGGATATTTTTGGCAACTGGCAGGACTCCTTAATTGCCATTGTTGCCCAGTAGAAATCTTGTTTTAACAAATAAGAATGATTTGTAGGTAACACTTCAGATTAGCAGAGTTAAGTTTGATTGCTACTTATAGTAGCTCTATAACAGTGGTATTGGAAATTGCTCATCTAAAGTACTTAAATTGTGGATTCTTTATATACATGTCATTCGTTTGATCTCTCTCCTTCCCTATTGTTATTAAGTAGATATTACCTTGGACTCTACTATAAATTGTTATATCAGAACTAGAGAAGTCTGATATAATCAAACTATATACATGACTACGTATTACCTTTATAACTATACATTGCTTAGGCTAGTAAGTAGTTTGCCTTGCTCTCAATTATACTCATTGTTCTAAGTGATCTTTAATTTCTATTTTAACAAAAAAAAAACTTTATTGAGATACAATTCACACATATAAAGTTAAAATTCAGTGGTTTTGTTGTATTTTTTTGTTCTTTAAAAAATTTTTAATATACTTTTATTTGTTCTAATTAGTTATACATGACAATAGTGACAATAGAATACTTTTTTTTTTTTTTGGCAGTCTTAGGGATTGAACCCAGGGCCCTGTGCATGCAAGACAAGCACTCTGCCAACTGAGCTATATCCCCAGCCCAGTAGAATGCATTTGACACATCCTACATAAATGGAGTATAACTTCTTTTTTGTCTGGTTATACATGATATAGAGTTACTCAGGTCATGTAATCATATATGCACACAGGGTAATAATGTCCAATTCTGTTGTATTTTTTAATTGTAAAAATTAGCCATTGTAACAATTTCAATGTGTACAAATGCATGTGCACCATATTGTGTGATCATCACTATGTATTTCTAAAACATTTTCATTAACCCAAGCAGAACATCATAGCCATCAAATAGTATCTCTCATTCTCCCTTCCCCCAAGTCCCTGGTAACGTCTGATCTACTTTATGTCTCTATGAATCTGTCTATTCTAAATATTGAAATATTTATCCTATTGTTTCTGGCTTTTTCTTTGAATATTCACTATGAGGGTTGTACATGTGTAGCATTAATCATAATGTTCTGTCTTTCTACAACGGAATAATCCATTGTATAGATGTAAATATTTTGTCTATTCATTTGTCTATTGATGGCCAGTTTTTCTACCTTTTGACTATTGTGTTACTGCAGTGAATATTGGCATATAACTATCTTGAGTCTCTCTTTTCAGTTCTTTTTGGGCATATATCTACAGGTGGAATTTTTGGGTCATATAGTAATTGTATCTTTCTTTATTACGTATATATATTTTTAAATTTTGTACTTGTTCTGAAGTTATACATGAGAGAAGAATATATTTTGACATATTATACATACATGGAATATAACCTCCCATTCTTGTAGTTGTACATGATGTGGAGTTAACACTGGTCATATATCATGTGAACATAGGACAGTTATGTCCGATTCATTCTACTGTCTTGTCTACTCCCATCCTTTCTCCCTTCCCTTCATTCCTCTTTTTCTAATCCAGTGCACTTTTTTCTCTTCCCCACCCTCCCATGCTGTCAGTTAGCATCCACATATCAGAGAGAATATTCAGCCTTTGGTTTTTGGGGGGATTGGCTTATTTCATTTAGCTTGATAGTCTCCAGTTCTGTCCATTTACTGGCAAATGCCATAATTTCATTTCTCTTTATGGCTGAGTAGTTTTCCATTGTGTATATGTGCCACGTTTTATTTATCCATTCATCTGTTGTAGGGAATCTAGGCTGGTTCCATAGCTTAGCTATTGTGAATTGAGCTGCTATAAACATTGATATGTCTATGTCACTGTAGTATGCTGACTTTAAGTCCTTTGGGTGTATTCCAAAGAATGGGGTAACTGGGTCAAATGGAGGTTCCATTCAAAGTTTTCTGAGGAATCTCCATACTGCTTTCCAAAGTAGTTGCACCACTTTGCAGTCCAACCAGCAATGTATGAGTGTACCTTTCCCCCCACATCCTCACCATCATTTATTACTTGTATTCTTGATAATTGTCATTGTGACTGGTGTGAGATGAAATCTCAGTGCAATTTTTTTTTTCTTGTACTGAGGATTGAACTCGGCGGGGCACTCAACTACTCAGCCACATCCCCAGCCCTATTTTGTATTTTATTTAGAGACATGGCCTCACTGAGTTGCTTAGCACCTCACCATTGCTGAGGCTAGCTTTGAACTCTCGATCCTCCTGTCTCAGTCTCCCATGCTGTTGGAATTACAGACATGTGCCACTGTGCCCAACTTTAGTGTAGTTTTAATTTGCATTTCTGTAATTGCTAGAGATGCTAAACATTTTTTCGTGTATTTGTTGACAGATTATATTTCTTCTATGAAGTGTCTGTTCCATTCCTTATGACAATTGTGTCTTCAACTTTTTAAATAACTGCCAAGGGCTGGGGTTGTAGCTCAGTGGTAGAGCGCTTGCCTGGCATGAGTGAGGCCCTGGGTTCCATTCCCAGCACCACATAAAAATAAACAAATAAAGATATTGTATTTTGAAATAAAGAAGCAAATGTGTTAAAAATCAAAAAAAAAAAAAAAGAAAGAAAGAAAGGAAAATAAAGATA